TTGAACCTCTGCACCTGAAGAAGGGTCCTGTGTGACTCACAAGCTTGCTCTTGACACTTCAAAGGGGACCGCCTGCAAGCCAAGAGGATAGGCTCATTGGCAGAGTGCTGCTTGTTTTGGGGTATAAAGCAACACAGTGACTCCGACCCCCCGGGAAATAAAAAAGGAAGCTGTTGCCAGCCAGGAGGAGCACCACACACTCCTTCTCAGCCGGCTGCATCCACGGGAACAACTGTCTCCCCCCCCTCGAGGAAGTCAACACAAAGCAATATGAGAAGATTCCTTTCCTTCTGTACCTCTTGGTACAGGCTGAGCCCTGCGGCTCCTCGTATTTCAAGATAATTAAAGCTTAGCGTACCCCTTCCCAAGTGACATAACATTGGACGCCTCCAGAGGGGAGAAAAATATCATTCTCCATCCTGAGCGGGACAGAATCACTAGCATCAGCAGCCAGTGGATGGTTCCAGGCCAGAGAACTGGGGGAAGGAGGTCTATGAATGAGGGACTTCTCAGCCCATTGGAACTTGTTAAGCAGAAGGAATCAAGACCGGTAAAGCTCATCACGTCGTGGGAGTCTGGAGTCCAAGGCTGGAGTAACGAGTACAACTGGGAACCTTGCGCCCACACCGAGAGTGGGCCCCGGATAAGACCATTGGAGATGGTTGTGGTGGGCTGGAGTAACGAGTACAACTGGGAACCTTGTTCCCACACCGAGAGTGGGCCCCAGATAAGACCATTGGAGCTCTTTGGGCTCTTTGGCCATGTCCTGAAGGTTGTTCTTCCTGATGTTTCGCCCGTCTCTGTGGCCAGCATCTTCAGAGGACTGGAGTAGGAACGCTGTCCATGGTACTGTTCCTACTCCAGTCCTCTGAAGATGGCGGCCACAGAGACGGGCGAAACCCTCAGATCCCAGCCATGAAAGCCTTTGAGAATACACAGTTGGAGATCATTGTGGTTCCAAGGGATTCCTCCCTTCTTCCCATGCTATTTGTGCCCATGCAGGGAGGAACGCACCTTCCTGGTGCTCAGCTCAGTCCCCACCCCATCCCGTTTCTGCTCCTCTGGATGTCACCGCAGGATGGTGGAATATGCAGCAAGTCCCTCCTGCTGATGGCTGGCAAGTGGTAATTTCCCACGGGGGCTCTAAACCTTCTGGTGCTTGGCAGCAGGGTGTGCACGCGGGTTTCTCATTCCTTGGCACCCCGCGGCTTGGCGCCTGCACTGAACAGTGCCAGCCACCTGAGTCCTGGTATGGTAGCAGAGGAGATGGTTCTCCTCTGGAGGTGGCCAGGCTGGGAACCAGGAACAATGCTTGATTTTCAACACACTGGCAGCTGATGCAAAAAAGTAAGAAAACGGCAGCAGGAGGGGGTAGCAGTTCATGCTTCCTCTCTCTTAACCAGAGATGTAGGGTGTGCCTACTAACAATGATCAGAAGATCACTTTGCACATGCTCAGGTGCAGAGCCTGGAACACAACATTTTGGAAAGGCCCTCCTTCTGTCTCAGAAACAAGGTTACTGCTATTTCTTACGAGGAAAGACTGAGATGTTTCACCTAGAGCAAAGACGATGGAGGGGAGAGAGGATAGCACATTTCAAATACTTGAAAGGCTGTCATACAGAAGAGGGGCAGGATCTGTTCTCAATCATCCCAGAGTGCAGGGCACGTCATCATGGGCTCAAGCGACAGGAAGCCAGATTTCGGCTGAATCTCAGGAAAAACTTCCTAACTGTTAGAGCAGTATGACAATGGAGGGAGGTGGTGAGCGCACCAACGCTGGAGCCCTTCAAGAGAAAATTGGACAATCCTCTGTCAGATATACATTGATATGGATTCCCGCCTTAAGCAGAGGGTTGGAATTGATGGCTTTATACACCCGTTCCCATTAAATTATTCTATGATTTTATTATCATTATTGTTGCCTTAATTGGGTGTAGAATTTATCAGCATTGCATGTTGGTGACACATTGTAGTGTCATTGCTGAGAAGTCATAAAAACCACAAGGAAAACCTCTGTGGTTCCCCCTGGAGGCCAGATATGATATTGCACCTTGGAAATATAAAACGGCGAACACAACCAACCTTTCCTTTGCCACTTAGAATTGATGGGGGAAAGCCTGAATTTTTTCCCCATCAAAATGCCTTTGAATGCCATTTTAAAGATCTCTGGCTTGCTTTTCTGCTCATAGAACAGACCGGAAAAAATAAATAAATAGAAAAACTAAAGAGGGGCGCCAGGGAGAGGAGAAAGATAGACCCAAACTTCTTAAAGTGGAGATCTGGCATAACCACAAGAACATGGGTCTTCATCCACACACATGCACCCTCAGTCCTAGTAGAGGGATGAGTGCAGTTTTTAAATTTGAAAGAAAACAGGACAAGCAATAGGATATACCAACAAAACTCCCTCATTTTGAGCTGCAGCTAAATCAATTTAGCTGTCAGCCTCTTTCTCCTCTGGTGCTGGCTCAGTATCCTCCTTATAAGGTATCCATGCTTTCTTTTCCCCTTTCCCCACTTTCCATTGCATCACAGCTTCTTGATCTCAACATCTTTCACTGGGTGACAAAGGGCTTTGTGCTCCATCCCATAATAGCCACAGGACTGTACAAAGAGCCCCGATGCAGTCTGTTTCGACACCTTTGACCACAGAGGCTGCTCATTCCGGGACGGAAGTAAACGGACTTATTTCGCAGGCCTTTTAGTGTCTCCAGAAGGCACCTGTATTGAGGTTTTCGTAGCGCGCATTTTCATTTAATCAGTTAATTAATCAGAGAAAAGGCAGACGGTGTAATCGACTAAAAATTTCTTCCCTCCAGAGCTCTCGTGGTAATGAAGATGTAATTAGTTCTCTGATATCCACGGGTGAATGTGCATTGAAGTGAAATTTATTTATTTATTTTCTTGCTTACGTTGATATTCTCTTTCTCTTCGGGTGCCGCCACAAAATTCGGAAGAAGCAGGGATGAGGACACGATCCTGGGGTCCTTGGAAATCAAGGGAAAACCCGGCCACTTCAATTCTGTGAGCCTTGACTTCCAAAACCCGCCAGATGTGAGGTTGAAATGGGAAACATTTTGGATCCCCGCTCGTGTGTCTTAGCAGTCGTGCCACGCCCGGGCTTCTGTGAGTTTAAATTTTTTCTTTTTTTCTTTTTAAAGGTAGGGGATATGTCCGTCAAGTAAATGGAATGACAATTCAGTCCTCCTTGTTTCTCTGCAGAATCAGACCGTTTATCCAACACTTGTCGAAACTCTTTCCGCAGCCACTTATAACCCCTTCAGAGCTTCTAACACTTCTGTTAAATAACTCACCAGAAGCCTTGGAACTGAGTGCTTTGGAAAACGGCAGTGAAATCAGCAGCAGCAAATGGCAGTCTGGGCAGTAAATGAAAATCGTTATAGTTAATTGAACAACACAAAGGTGCATCGTGAGGCATAAAGAAGAATAAATCAGTATGAACCACAAAATGTGAAACGTCTGGGACATCTCAGTGGCTCTCTTGAAGGCCTTCTTCGCTAACTGACAAGTTGGATCGCTGTGTGAGTGGAATTTTTAAAAGCTAATTTTTCGGTCTACAACTTCCAGCCACCATGGCCAGGGTTTTCCCCCATGGGCTTGTACGGCAGCTCCAGAAACCACAGGGAGCAGCAGTACACTGATCAATAGGGAGATGTGTGCCCGAGTTTGGGATTTGAGAATTCACTAGTAAAGTTATAGTTTCACGTCCCTGAAAAAGTAGTTGATGCTGCTTTATTGAGACTTGAGCTTATTTGTCTTGAACGTTTAACGTTTAGTCGTTTAGTCGTGTCCGACTCTTCGTGACCCCATGGACCAGAGCACGCCAGGCCCTCCTATCTTCTACTGCCTCCCGGAGTTGTGTCAAATTCATGTTGGTTGCATCACAGACACTGTCCAGCCATCTCATCCTCGGTCGTCCCTTTGTCTTGAACCATGCTCAAAAATAGTAGTTTCTTTAAATTCCCAGTTCCCTGAATCTTCTGGTCATTTGGATAGCTCTAAGACGGAAAAGCTATGGAGCGAAAAGATGTCTGGAGAAATTTCCCTGTTGTCCGATAGCAGAGCCAACCTGCCGGGCACCTATTTCTGAGCAAACCCAGGGAAATTGAAGCAAACGGATCAGATGAAAAAAGAGGAGGTGCAAAAGGTGATTGATCATCACCAGCCACCCAGAAAGTGGTGCTTAAGTGATCATTAAAAAAGACGGCAGGCTGGTGTAATCTCTGCTGCTCAACTGGAGAAACAAGAGAGATTATTAGTTGAACTTTAGTTGATTTCCTCCCCATCCCCATCTCTGATGATTAAAAAAAAGACGCCTCGGGAGGTTTACACCAATAAAAAAAAATACAGCCACTGAGTCGAGGGGCCATAGAATCAAAACAATCGGAACGTTACTACCTCATTAAAGTCCCATATTTAAATCCAATAAACCACTCTCCTTAGAAGCGAGGATATTAAACCCCTGGTAAAAGCATCACGCTTAAGACGACATCCGTTTAAAGCAAACACAACTTGTGTTGCTTCCTTAAAAAGCTCCAGCGTGAGCTTTCTTGGGTTACCGAAGTCATCGATTCTGGAAGAAGGACAAAGAAAAAAGCATCGGCTGTGCTTTTCTCCCCCAAAAGCTCGTGAGCACATCGCGAGAAGGCAGGATTCTTTGGACAAAAGAATAGCGCTGGGAAAGGTGGAAGGCAGCAGGAAAAGAGGAAGACGAAATACAGGATGGAACGACTCCCTCAAGGAAACCCCAGGCTTCAGTTTGGAATAGCTAAGCGGGGCTGTTGAGGACAAGACGTTTCATGGGGTCGGCATAAGTCAGGGGCGACTTAATGGCACATGGTAAATGAGAATAAATTCTTCCGGCTAGCAGGGGAATGCCAGAATTTTCGGAACTAGAAAAATGGAAGAAATACACCACTGCCGGATACAAGAGAAACAGTGTTTAAACAGAGAAAAGAAAGGGGGGTTCTTACTCACCGAACACTTTTTAAAGACTGGCCTGTTTCATCGCCTCAGGCAAACCAGGTATTCTCCTTAGCCCGGAAGGGGCAATCTTTTCTTCACCTCTTTTCGGAGCAGAAACCTGGAGGAAGAAAAAGACAGGAGCTGAAACGACTGGGAAAACGGAGACAGGATGTTTTCTGAATTGATTTACCTAGACAGCTCAGTGGTTGAGGTCTCTGGCTCTGGAGCCAGAGGTTGGGAGTTTGATTCCCCCACGGGCCCTCCTTGACAGGGGCTGGACTAGATGACCTAGAGGGTCCCTTCCCACTCTACAGTTCTAGGTCATTTGTAACCCAGTGGACTAGATGACCCAGAGGGTCCCTTCCCGCTCTACAGTTCTAGGTCATTTGTAACCCGCTTCGGAAACCACATTCGTCAAAGCTGTTGTTTAACAGGAATAAATGATCACACCAGCTTAAAGTGATACAAAATAAACATTGAGTAAAAAACAAGAAAAAAATATTACAATCTCCCTCTAAAAGTGGCCGGGAGGTTGTTCAGTTTATTACAGACATTTGCAAGCTGAAACTAGTTACAAGCAACAAGTGATTATTTCCCTTTAAATGATTACTTTGGGTAATCTGGCTGTGACACTTGTCACCCCATTGATCCCCAGGGTTGATTCGGCTGATCTGGCTGGCTAGGCGGGCGTCCCCTTCCTCCCTCACCACTCCATGTGCAGTGGAAGAGGATGATCATCCCAGATAAAAGGAGTGTACCGTTCTTTGGTCAAGGCTATATGATTAAGCTTAGAAAGAATGAGAAGATGATGGTCACAAAATGAGCTTTGCAAATGAACTCAGATTCTGCCTGGGTCTTCTTTTGCTCTTAACAGAGCCCTCCAAATCACTATATCCTCTGAACAGCCCTGCGAGGTAGCATAGGCCGAGAAAGAAGACTGGGTGGAAATCCAGCCAGCCAGCTTTGTGGCAGAGTGGGGATTTGAACTGCGGTTTTACCTAGCTTCTTATCTAATTTCTGAACAATGACACACCCTGAGAATGTCCGGCTTCTCTGAGGCTGAATCAAACAGAGCCGGCTTGTCTCTCTTCCCTGTCCATTCTTTCTGTGGCTGGTGCTGAGAATCTGAGAGCTGGGCTAATTTGGGAGATCTAGTCCACTGGTCCCCAACCTTGGGCCTCCAGATGTTCTTGGACTACAATTCCCAGAAGCCTTCACCACCATCCCTGCTGGCCAGGATTTCTGGGAGTTGAAGTCCAAGAACATCTGGAGGCCCAAGGCTGGGGACCACTGATCTAGTCCATCACTTTGGAAACAGGTTCCTAAGCTTGGAAGGCTCCTGGAGACTTCGGACTAAAACACGGAGCGGATCCACCACCACCCTGTGCAAAATGTGACCCCCCCCAGCCTCCAACTGGAGACAGCTGGGTGTGGCGTGGCCGGCCCTGGAGCTCCTGATCCTGCCTTCAAGCCTAGCCGAGGATGCTTTTTTCCCAAGCCCCCCCTCCAGCCCAGACATTGCTTGTACAGCGAGCAGAAGGGCAGCGAAATGTTCTTTGCCTCAAGCAGCAAAATGTCTAGGGACGGCGGGCCCGCGGCCAGCTGCTCGGCACGTGGAACCGAGCCTGATTCTGAGACGCCGAAGCGCCTTGTTGGCTTCAGTCCAGTCTCCGCTGGAGCACAGCCGGAATGAATTATTCTTATATTTTAAAAATAAAGAGGCAGAACCGTTTTTGCAGCTGCGGTGCTTCAAAAAGGCTGCCGTTTCCTCCGCCTCCCCCCCCGACCCACAAAACCCACCCTCTCAAGTATAAACAGAATTTAGATTTATTGGAGTGTTATGCTTCTGCACCCGTCATTCCTTGTAAAGGGAAGTTATTTGTCGCAATTTAAAGGGGGAAAATGACTTTTGGAGCAGCAGGAGGTGGATGTTCAAACGTAGCTGGAAATGAGCAGAAACCACCCCCACCGCGGGCCTC